AAGCAATAGCAGGCCCTTGAGCTACCAGGTGGCAAGAAATCAAGATTGAGTTCAGTCCATATGAGTTTGGATTTGTCATTATCCTTGTCTTGTGACTATGTTCTTGACAATTCAGATGGATAAGAACACATACACCAGTAAATCTAAGTGTCATAAGGTTTCTCTCCGATTCATGAAAACGATGGTGAGGAAACTCTTTCACTAAGTAGATTTTAGCTAGATAGAAATTGTAATATTTGCATTCTCAAAGTCGTTAGTGGTGCGTGTGTGGTTTACCGGCACACTAACCTGGACTTGTGAGAAGTGCAAAGGTCTAAACAATCGAGACTATGATTACGGCATCCCTTTTCATAGTTCTTAAATTGTTAAGACACACAAGTGTGCTATCTAAGTCAAGGTGTATGATTTTGATAAAGTTTTATCAAAGCAATCTAGTATCAGAAATCTGAACTTTGGAAAGAAAGTCAATAAAGTATTGATTTCTAGAAGTCCAGTTAATTTCTGAGTACATGTCAAATCTAGTGGGAGCATAAGTGTTATGCTAATAATCATCATGTTAGTGGGAGCATGATAATTATGATAAGTATTGCAAGTTAGCAATGTTAATTATAGAAAACAAAGTTTCAATTGGGAAAGAGTTGTTTTGCTATAATTAAGGGAGAGGAAATTATACTTCATCTCAAATCTAAAAGCTTAGATTGAGGTTTTAATCGTATTCTGTCAAGGATATATATATATATATATATATATATATATATATATATATATATATATATATATATATATATATATATGAATTTCATGTTGGAATGGCTCAACATAAGGAAATTCTGTATATGGGTCCATTATTTGCGTTCTAAAATTCGATTATGATTACGACATCCCTTTTCATAATCTGAACTATGATAACTTGGCAAATAGAAATGGAAATAGTATAGCAAAAGACTGGTGTAGTCTTTATGTGAGACATCATGAATCGTGTCCAATATGCTTCGGATATAGGATCGATTACATGTGCTATATTCATCCGTTCTAAAATTTTCCAAATGCTTGGGGCATTAAGAAGGGAAAAGGTCTAGAATTGGATATGACTAAAAGGATTAAACAATTATCGAGGACGATCTAAGGTTTACCAAAGATTGGGTGCTCAAGGACAGTTGGAAGTATAGTGATAATTCTGGAAGGACCATATTGACATAATCTGTAAGGAGGTAGCTCTTGTTCAGAAGTGATAGTCAAAATGGAATCTGGAAATGTTTCAAAGTTAGAATTTTTCAATTTGTTTAAGGTTAGGAAACCTAATGCAAGAAGGATGTTTCTAAGGAGCTGATCTCCTTTGGAATGCTCTGTAATGGTTGTTGTCAAGTCTTTCTGACTTCGTGCATAATCATTACAAGAGGATCAATTCATATAAGTTTAGAATCTAACAGATTTCAGTAAATCGCATGAATTTGGAATTATTGCATTTGCAGTAAGGATTTGGGACCGTGAAAAGATGATCATTGGAGTTATGCTCAATTGATCTATTTCACAAAGTAAAGATCATAGACAAACATAGTATGCATACTTGGTGTGTGGCATGACTATTGTTCAGAAAACATAGTGTACATGCTTGGAGCATGGTACAACTAGTGTTTCAATTCAAGTATAAAGTTGATAAAACCGAAACAATGAATAATGAGTAATCAATATGGTGATAAATAAAAGTGTTTATTTATATTCATAGGGTTTGATACCATATCTGATTCATTTATTCTTGTGTTTCAATTTGCATGTTTTGACTTCCAGAATAAACTAGGTTATTCTTCCAGAATGACTAAGTTATTCAAACCATCCACAGTCGGTCATATGTTAGAAGTAGATATGAATCAAGATTGTCATGGGTTGGCTTGTAGAGGTCTAAGATGTTGGACAAAGGGCTACAACACTCATGAGTGCTCATAAGTTCTGAGTATTGGATTCAACCCGTGCTCATTAGAATCACTTCATGGATCTTATCACAAGTGATCATGAGACGATAATATCTTATATTCTTCAAACCTAGAGATATGAGTTGTTACTATGAGTTGGTTGTACATTGATTGCACGAAAACGCATTCGGTAACTCGGTGTTATAAAACATGCCTTTGTGTATGATTCAACAAGTAGCAGAACAAGCCATATGAGTCGAGGTTTATACATTCCTTTTACCTTCGGGATAAAAGCGATATCAGTGGGCCCCTCAATGATTTAATGATGACACATGTGAGTGCTTGGCCAAACCAGGATTGATTTGATTTGTTCAATCAGTCAGTCATCATGAATCGGAAATCGGGAAACAACAAATGGACAGAGAGAATGACTATAATCCATGTCTCAGTCCATATGATAACTAGAATGGAGGAATATATGATCCCTTATCTAATGGACAAGTTCGTTGACAAGATCAGAGTTCGACAGCGGCTTTAAGAGCTACGATTGCCAGTTAGCTTTTGAAGTCATACTCAATAATAGTTTTAGACTTATCCAAGTGGGAGACTGTTGGATTAATGTCTAAGTCCAAAACTATATTTGGTATGTACTTGACCCGACCCGACATGGTCCATTTGGGTTGCACTTCACCAACACAATTTATATGGATAGTCTTTTGAGAATAATATATTTATGATTAATATTAATATATTATAAGTTCTAATATATTAATATGGAATCATATTATTTAATTAGTATTGATCAAGAATTAATTTAGAATTAATTAAGTGATCAAAATGAACTAATTAAATATGGACTCTTATATATATGGAATGGGCCAAGTTCATTTAGGTTGGACTAAGCTCTCATGGATAGTCCATGGAGTGTTTAACCCATGGATTATATGAAATGAAAGGTAATTGGTTTAACCCTAGTCTCCATACTATATAAAGATGTCATTGGTTGGTGAAATGGGCACTAGTGTGGGACACTAAGAAGGGCTAGCTGATTTCACTAGAGAGAACCAAGTATCCATATTCTCTAAAGTCTTCCAAGGTGTTTTGGTGATTTGTGATTCCACTTGAGGCTTCCACACTATTGGGGCTAAGCTCTTAAAGCTTGAAGACATCAAGCTACATCAAAAGGTATGTCATCTAACTAGTACTTTGTAGTATAAGAACTTCATAATATGCTAGTTAGGATTAAAGCCTTGGAAAGTTCTTATTTGCATGTATAATAGAGAAAACATAGATCCAAGGTTTATAGGGTTATATGTACACCATAAGAGTGTTAGAATGCTCAAAACCCAACAATAACATCAAGTTCACTGTTGAATGGATTCTAATTAATATTCACTTGATAAGACTCCTAGGGATGAAGCAACCTCTATCATGGAACAACTTCAAGAGAGTGAATGTGATGCAGGTAAGGAGCCTTTGATTCTATACACACTAACCAATTTGAAGTAGGTATGATCTACTTTTTATCATTGTAATTTTTTGTACTTTTTTGCTCCGATTTTAGATAATTTCAGATTCGTCTATTGTGGTGTACTTATTGGAGTTGTTTGATAATACATTTGATTTCGTTTATTTTGAAGTAAGCAAGTGTTTCGCAGAAATGCTCCCCTCATTATCGTTTAACTATTGTTTCCATTATGTTTTTTATAATACATTTGATTTTGTTTATACGTTTATTATGTGTTGATAATACCTATGTTTTTCGATTTTTTTTTCAGTATATATTAAAAGAAAACAGAAGACATAAAAACAATTAACCATGTATAAAAAATAGTACATTATTACAGTTGAGCAAAATGCTAAAATATTAAAAAATAAAAACTAAATAATTTGCTAAGACCATCTCCAACCCATTAAACCATTTTTTTTTTGCAAAAACTTGGTTTAATGTATTAAGATACTATACATTTACCTATTTGTCCTGTTTTTTTTTATCCTAAATCCACTAACGTTAAAGTTGACCTGTATTATGAAATTTAGTTTATGGACAACAAGCGTAAATTAAATTGGTCATTTGGTCACATTTACATGGTTGCCAAGGAGAAAAGATGTACCTAAGTCGCACAGGGATTAATGGTCAAAATCTATAAATGGAACTAAATCCTGGATTATCCAGATTCAGTAACTAATGTATTTTCTGAAACATTTTGGAAAGAAGGTGTGTCATGTACTCTTTTTGAATGCAATATTTGACACCTTATATAGAAAGATGTAAAAGCATGTCAATTGTAATAGCAAAATCATTGAAAACAATAAAAAAAAAATCCTCAGATGAAGAAGTTAAATTTGAATCAGCCAAAGAAATAATAAAATAGGATTATTTCATTAGAATTGAGGAATCAAAGAAACGGCCATTTGGGATTGCTATTACAAATTCAAACATCTCCTTCAAAATATAAGCAAGATGGATTCATGATGAAATTGAACAATAGGCGCGTTTCTAATATATGGTGAGCTATGAATATGTTGACATTTTGTATGCTATCTGATTTTAGTCTACTACAAACATTCTTTTATATGCTATCTGATTTTTTTGTTCCCTTTTGAATAATAATACAGGCAATGAGGAAGAAGTAAAACAAATTGTATGTGCTTTTTATGTGCTCTGTTATTTGACACCAGAAATTATAGTTTGGCATTCACTAGATTTTAATGTTTCAAAGGGACGATACAACATAAGTAGAAGAACAATGGTTAGTTCAATACAACAATTGAGGGTGGAATGGGAAATTAAATGGGCAGCAGTACAATAATGGAAGTTCGAACAGGAGAATGGGAATGAAGTTGAGCAACAGAATGTAAATTGTGAGCACGGATATGAACATGTTCAATCGTGTGGTTCTCCAAAAAAGGTATAAATTTGTTTAATTTTATAAAAAAAACAAATGAAAATCTATCAGATAACTTAAATATGTATTTACATGCATTACGGGTTGTTCATATTGGGTTTTAGTTAATTTGGGTTGAAATTAGAATCAATAACCATGATCAAAGATGAAGAGTAATTCTTTTGTTTTTTTTTCTAAGGAAATGAAAGTTGAAGAACAAAAATACAACTGCATGCCCATAAGGTACTACTTTTTTTTCATATATAACATTGATAAAACCGGTATTAAGGACAGATTGGATTTAGTGAGATTAGAAAACATAATTAATAATATGTTATTGTGTGTGAATTTTTCAGGCTATTGAAGGTATATACCATAAGGACTAAATTTGTAATTTTATTGTTTTTGTAAATTACCTACTTTACGTGGTTCATGATGAATATGCACCTAGAAAAATCGGGTATGGCTTTTTATTTATTTATTTTTGTTTTTGTATATTTTATATTTTATACATTTTTTTTTTGTAATTTGTAGCGTGGATGCGATCAAGAATTTTGAAGTGGAAGTTGGCATGAACATGATAGAAGTAGATGGATGTGCGATGGCCCCACGACAACTCAAACTCGGTTCTTTAGATGGTAAAAAATAGGAGCAACGACAGAATATGCGACGGCTAAAACAGCCAAGAGAAAAATACAAGTTACAATAGAAGCAGCCTCATCATGTGTCCACTGGTTTTTTTTCTACAAGGGTCAAAAGGTAAAATGCAGACAATATCATGAAATCCATATATAATTTGTATTATATAATTTATATTCATTATTAGATAGCCTAAAAAAGAGATTGACTTACGCTTATGGTACTTTGTGTATATGACATGGAATACTTTTGGATTTTATCCATATTCGTAAGAAGCACCAGATGCGAAAAATGATCTTATCTATTTAGATCCATTAACATTTACAGAAAATAAACAGCAAAAGGAATTGTCGCTTCCGACCCCGCAACGCGGAGTTCCCCTTCTAGTTCTTATAGAATAGTATTTGTACAAAAAAAAAAAATCATTCTTACCTGATATTATTCTCATAGAATGTCATTTTCGTAAGAATGAACCTTTGAAAATGATCAAGTACGTTCAAGAATTATATATTTAGGAATGCTATTTTTTACGACTTTTTTTTTTTTTTATGACATTCTGTTAAAATATGGATAATTCTATTAAAATATATACGATTACTAAGTATTCTTTAAGAATATGTATGAATTCGTATTTATATTCTAATGTCTATGAATATATAAGGATATTATTATTTTTCAACCAATGGTTCAAGAATGTTGTTTTTCTTGAAGAAATTCATTTAAGCAAAATATGTATTCTGTCATAAATATGTATCCTATCACTTTTTTAGAATATCATTCTAACACAATTTCATTCTGATATAATAAATCAGGTATAATTAAAAATTATGTTACAATTAAAATTTAATTAATAAAAAATCAAAATTTTTAAATCAAGAGAATTAATTAACCCTAAAAAAATGGAATTTTCTTTTTTTTAATTTATGTTAGTTGGCTAAAATACCCTTATAATTAAATTAGATGATATTCTTTAATTATTTTTAATTTGATAGTATATATTAATCAATTTCTTAAAAGAACTAAAATGATTGGTTCACAATCATTCCTACTCCACACAATAATTAGTTAGAACATAATAATCTAAGTCTATATATATATATATATATATATATATATATATATATATATATATATATATATATATATATATATATATATATATATATATATAGGAGTAGGATCAAATGAGAACACTAAAAAGGTTGAGATCACGAGAACAAATCTGGACCATTTAAATACTTAAATGTAAGGTCATTATTGAAAGGGGGGTTTATGAAAAAATCTTAAACTATTGATATTAAAATGTAACTTTTAAATGGTTAGAAGGACATAACAGGAATTTCAACTTTACTATCTCCTATAATTTCTCACATGTTCATATATTTCCTTTAATCTATTGGGTATATATTTCCACATCTTATTTTTAGGGTTTCATAAAACTCACACCATCATCGATTTGGGCATCACCTACAACCCACCACGAAGATCTGTTCCCATCATCATTGGTCTCGGTAGGTGCAATAAGGGTTGCTCAAGCAGTTTTTGGTTGCTTCTCCTTCTATTACGGTAGCATATGCGAAGGGGAGGAGAACATTTGGCCCGATGGACCAAGGCAAGCGGAAACATCAGCTCCGGTGAGGGTTTTCGCCGTGGTGCTCGATAGAAGAAGAGCAAGGTGCGAGGGGACGAAGAAACATGCAGTAACAACGATCTATCAATATAAATCGATGGGTCACGACAATGGCAGTTCATCGGGTAACGCTTCTTTTTCTTTTACTTTTAATTTGACTGTAAATCAATGGGGCTTAATGATGGGTGTTTGGCTTTGATTTTCCAACAGAAACCGATGGGTTTATATTACTAGATTTAGATTGGTGTTTTGTTTGCTGGAAGTTGATATGAAGAAGATGAAGCAATAATCCCAATGGTTGTATTTCTTGTTTGCAGGAAATCACGAGAACAAAACAAAATTTGTTCTTGACTGTAACTTGATAGGAAGGAAGAAGAAGGGTAAAAACGGGTTTGATTGATTCATTTGAAAAGAACAAGGAAAAAGAAAAGGAGGGTAATAGATGTGAATAAGTATTATGGATCGATTAATTGTAAATGATTAAAACTATGTTTTTTAGATAAAGTTTCAGCTGTAATCTTATATGAATACAATGTCAAATGTCTCATTTGTAGTTAAACATTAATGAACAGAAGTATATTATAATTACATGATATCATATCTTAATGATTTATGTTTTGAACATGTGTAATTTAGAGCTTGATGTTTCTAATTATGATAGCAGCAAGAAAATATGAAAAAAAAACAATGTTGTAGTAATTAATCTATGATTCACATTATAATCTTATATGAATATAACTACTGAAAATATAGGAATTTAGATGTTTTTTTGTATTCTTGTAAATTTATTCATGTATGATTAGAGTTGTATTCATTTATGATTGTAATAAAAGGCGTATTCATTTGCAACAAAATGATGAATTCTTAAACATTTTTTGATATCCATTCATAAAAAAAAATATACAAATACAAATCCAATCATGACATTTTCAGTTATAAATATGACACTATTTGACAAAATTAAATAACAAAATTAGTTAACTATTATATATTTTTAATTGATTGTATATTTAGTTTGATATTTATTCATTTATGGACAATAATCACATAAAGCAAGATAAAATCATTGATAACTCTTATTTTCTTTTAATAATGATATAAAGAAAATGAAAAAAAAAATTATATTTTTGGTAACAATCAATTAGAATCCCAAAAATTTAGGAAAATATCATTTAATTAAAAGACAAGTTTATCTATATGTCATTATTTATTGATTGGTTCAGAACTGTTCTCGCTTTCTCAACCTTGTAGGTATTCTCATTTGATTCTTTATATATATATATATATATATATATATATATATATATATATATATATATATATATATATATATATATATATATATATATGGGTAAAGTGAATATACCTAACAACCTTATATAAGCTTAGGTACCTAACCACATCATACTACGTAATTTTGTATCATATTTGCATTGTAATCACCCAAAGTTATTAAAATTCAACCTCATAACTTGATTGCTTCCAAAATCTTTGGAGTTTCATCATTATTTTCCTTCAAATGACATCTTTCTATCGGAGACCCCCTGGTGAGCTTCATATACTACCGTTAGAAATCAAATGGTGTAGGAGGAATATAATGATGAATGTCTGAAAATCTTGGAAGTAAATCAAGTTAAGGGTTGAAGTTTAAGAACCTTTGACGATTGCAATGGAAATATAATGCAAAACAATGTAGTATAATGTGGTTAGGTACCTAAGCTTATATACGGTTGTTAGGTATATTCACTTTACCCTATATATATATATATATATATATATATATATATATATATATATATATATATATATATATATATATATATATATATATTCTTTTCAAAAAAAAATCCTTAAATTTAACCCTATTAACAAAAAGACATCTCTAATCGTTATTTTCAAAATAAGCCTCTAAATTTCCAGAAAATATCTGAAACCGGCATTAGCCGGAAACAAGGTTTTTTTACAAGTATGTACCGTTTTTCTAATCTTAAAAAAATAAATAAATAAATAAATAAATAAAATTATACGTCAATAGAAGCAAACTTCATAAACTTTACTGCAAATTTATCTATTTAAAAAATGGATAGATGAAAAGTATAAATCCAGATATTTACAACTATGATGATGTATTTTAGGTAAACTAAAATGTGACACAAACAGTATAATTTTAGAAAATTAAAATTATAGAAACTAAATGCAAATTGATTATTTCCGGCGATTAAAAAAGTAAATAAACCGTTGATTCATTTTATTTATATCGATAAAGACGTGTAACGTTGTTCGATAAACAGGTCTATCAAACCAAAAAGGAAAAATACTGATATTTAAAAAATTTAAACAAAAATCTTTGAGGAAAGAGAGAGGGAGCCAGGGGCCAGAGGGACGTTCGGTGACCTATTTATGTTTTATGGTTCCGTGCTTCGTCTCAAGTCTCAACAACGTGCAACAGATCTCCCTTTCTCTCTCTCTCATTTACATCTCTTCCATTTTCCTTTTCCCTCTTTGAAATCGGACTCAAACCTCAAGGAATTGTGCCTGGGACGTTATCAATTGAAGAAATTCAACCCATATTACCATTAAAATCATCTTTGATTTGTATATAATAAGCTCATTTGTTTGAATTTTTTCCTCCAAGAAACCAGAGGATCAACGATGGATGGTATCTATTTAAAGACAGGGTTTATTGGGATCACGACTCCGATCACCGCAGCCGGTGAGATTCGTAAAAACACAACTCAAATTACTACCTCCGCCGTCAGCCGGACGACGGCAAGTGCGATTTCATCGGAGAAACCTTCAGTGTCAGGTTCCTCTGCTCCTCGGACGACAGGGCCGTGGGGTTTTTCTTTGAAATTCCCTCTCCCTTCTTTGTTTGTCGGTAACCGAAACCGGTACGATGCGTTGGCCGTCGACGACGCCGTTTCTGTTGATAGAAACGAAGAAACGAAGGAAGAAAGCGAGAGTAACAAGGAAAACGAGAATTGGGTGTTGAAGATTCTCCATGTGAGGTCTATTTGGAATGAAAGGAAAGATGGTGTGATAGAAGAGGAAGATCGAGAAGGTAGAAATCCTTTGGATCATCAAGACGAGGTTCCTTTAGATGACGCAGAAGAGTGTGATGCATGTAGCGTTGATGATTACGATGACGCCCAAATCGAATTCGATAAGGCTTCGTTTTCAAAACTTCTTAGAAGGGTTTCTCTTGCTGAAGCACGGTTGTATTCTCAAATGTCCTATTTGGGGAGTTTAGCTTACTCCATACCTCAAATCAAGGTACCCATTTCGTGTCTATCCTCATTATTCCATTTTGTTTCATTATTATAGAAATATACGTAGATGGTCCTGTTTGTTGGAATTCTGTGGCGATTCTTTAGAAACTGTAGAGGATTTTCAGATCTACGCCTTTTTCATAAGTAATTACCGCAATGTAGGTTATTTGTTATAGTTTCGATGGTTGATCTGTATCGTTTTTTTTTTCAGCCTGGGAATCTCCTAAAGCATTATAGACTCCGTTTTGTTACTTCATCCTTAGAAAAGAAAGCCCAGTTGGCTGCAAAAGCCGAGAAAGAGAAGGCTTTAGAAGGGGTGATTCAGGAAGGAGAAGATGACGCCAAAAAGAAAGAAGATCAGACCTCGAAAGCTGATATGGTTGAAGAAGACGACGAAGTAGAACAAACCACAGACACACAAAACAAGGTTGAAAACAAAGAAGAGAATCCAGGTGGAAATCTGATAAATGCTTCAACAGCTTATCATATCGCTGCCTCTGCTGCTTCCTACCTACATTCTCAAACAAGAAGCTTTATTCCTTTCACCAATAATAAATCAGACAATGTTGGCATGACGAAAGCAGAGGTTGCTTCATTAATGGCAACCACAGACTCAGTAACTGCTGTAGTTGCTGCTAAAGAAGAAGTGAAACAAGCTGTTGCAGATGATCTGAGCTCTATGCATTCATCGCCTTGTGATTGGTTCATATGTGATGATGATGATGATGAAGGTAGCAACACAAGATACTTTGTGATCCAGGGCTCCGAATCACTTGCATCATGGCAAGCTAATCTTCTTTTCGAACCTATTGAATTCGAATCCCTGGATGTAATTGTCCATAGGGGTATTTACGAGGCTGCAAAGGGAATTTATGAGCAAATGCTCCCCGAAGTCCATGATCACCTTCAACGCCATGGTGATAATGCAAAGTTTCGTTTCACAGGGCATTCACTTGGTGGAAGCTTATCTTTACTCGTGAATCTGATGTTGTTGATAAGAAACCAAGTCCCTCGTTCTTCATTACTTCCTGTTATAACATTTGGAGCACCTTCAGTTATGTGTGGAGGAGATCGTCTTCTTCATAAACTTGGATTACCAAAAAGTCATCTCCAAGCAATCACTCTGCATCGCGACATTGTACCCCGCGCTTTCTCTTGCAAATATCCGACTCGCGTAGCCGAGCTTCTCAAAGCGGTCAACGGGAATTTCCGGAATCACCCCTGCCTCAATAACCAGGTAGAAAAACTGAAAAAGCAAATCTCTATTTGGCTTTCCTCTCCGCTTTTTGTGGTTGTTAACAAAGGCATGATGTGATTTTTTTTTTTGGCAGAATTTATTGTATGCACCGATGGGGGAGTTTTTGATTCTGCAGCCAGATGCGAAACTTTCACCGAGTCATGACCTTCTACCTTCGGGCAGCGGTCTGTACATTTTGAGATCTGATGATGTGAATGTTTTGGAGGCAGAGAAGCAAATGAGGGCTGCCCGAACGGTGTTCTTGAATACGCCCCACCCGTTGGAGATCTTGAGTGATCGAGCTGCTTACGGGTCGGAAGGGGCAATTCAGAGAGACCATGACATGGTTTCGTATTTGGTGTCGGTTCAGAGTGTCATACGTCAAGAGCTTAAACGTGTAAGAAAAGTTAGGAGGGAGCAGAGGCGGCGTGCTTGGTGGCCCCTGGTGGTTCCACGTGGCGGTAGTGATATGGTGCCAGATGGTCATGGTCAAAATCAGGCCACCAAGTCTAACCTCCTGGGAAGGGAGGCTTTGAAAAGGTTTACGAGTCTGATTGCTTCTCAACATATGAACTTGATTGTCATACTGTTGCTTCCTGCAAGATTGTTGCTTGTGGAGGCAAGTAATGCCATTAGGCTAGGATGATCCATCCATTTATCCATTTAAGTAAGTAATAATTGTTAGAAGAAAGATGATTCATTTATTGTTTGATATGGATATGGATATGCACATATCATATGGGAAAGTGTCGATCACAAAAAAGAAAGTAAATATAGTCAGTCATTTTAGATCCCTCAATATGTTGGTATTTTACCTTTGTTATTTGTTTGTGCGGTGTGTATTTTATTATTATTATGTTTTAATTTTTATTTCTTGGAAGCTAAAAGTGGGTG